ATTTAATTGAAATATGAATAGTCGAAGCTGAACAAAGACTGATTTTCAAGTCCAACAGCAAACATGAATTCATGGCGTAACACGAAAGACCTTCCATTAACATGACACCCCTGGGTCACTACTGTGCTCCAACTACGCTTTCGCAGTCCCAGCTAATGCAACAGAAACAAAAACTGAATAAGCAACACAAATATTGAAAAAGAAAAGACCAAATTATCTTCATTTGTAGATTACATGGTTCCGTACCCGGGAAATCTAAGTGATTCTGCTAATCATGGAATTTAAGAACACATGCACTTGAAAATAGGTAGCTTTTCTTTACTCCAGTTATAACGTTATTTGTGGCCGCCTCAAATCACCCAAACACCTTCCGCACATTTTTGATAGTTCCTGCACGTGAATCCCACTTTCTCAATATAGAATTCAGAGGCATAGCTGTGTGACTTCTCCTCTGCTAGGGAGACCCATCCAGGCAGCACTACCAGAGGGAGCCATGGAACAGGCACAAGCGGCACCAGGGCAGCGTGGCAGTGCCCCCAGGTTTCCCAGCAAAGCCCCTTATTAAACACCCTGCTTAAACTAACTTAGATGGACTCCGTGGTCTGCAGCTGAGACTGGTTGATGTGCTCAACTGGAGGACACGAGCACAGTCCACAAACTCAGCTGCACGAGAAACACCTTGGCATTCCTAAAAGTTTTATTTTTAGCCCCATCCTGGTCAATGCAGCATTCCACACCATCTCTCCCAGGGCTCTGTCCAACTGAGGGCTGGGTAGCAGGGGGCCGAATCTGTCCACGCAGGCATCTGTCAAAACGCCCTTTGACCCCTGTGGGCCTCGACCACGGGCCAGTGCACACAGGCCTTACCCCGCCCCTTGTCTCTGGACCACACGACAGCTTACAGGTCCTGAAGCCACCTGTGGTCACTCCAAGGTCTTGGACCTCTTGGGAGCTGCCCAGGAAGCCAGGTGGAGCTCTCTCTGGGACCTGCCCCAGCCTCTGCTCCTTCCAGCTCCTCTCCCTCCGTCCTTGGCTAGTCCAGGGGTATTGAGGCCTACTTTGAGGGAAGTCTCTCCTTCCCACTCCTTATCCTGAAATGTCTTGAGATTCCTGCTCAGATTCACTCCCTCTGCTCTGACGTTTGTTTCCAAGAGGCCCATGGCAAAGTGGGCTCAGGCTTTGGGAAACACAAAGGCCAGAGATCCGAGGGCTTCATCGGCTGTCTGCCCTACCAATCCTGCCCCCAAAGCAACGAGCACCCCAGTCCGCCTGCTTCCATGGGGTGGGTACTTATGAAAGAATGTTCCTGAGAAAATCAAAAGCATCAGCTCACCACACCAAAAATGGCCAGTTAAATTTAAAGGAAAGGGGAGGAATCCCATCCACAATACCATAGAAACTACAAATTACCTAGCAATAAATACTCAAGGAAGATACACCCCGTGGAGAAAACTATAAAACCGTACAGAGGGACGTTACTGAGGGGGCTGAGCACGCGGCAAGACACGCCAGGTTTCTGACTGGGGTGACTTAAAACAGTGAAGACATCGACTCTCAACAACTTCGTTCCGAAATGAGTGAAATTCCACCAGAAATTCTAATGGTGTTATTCTGGAACTGAGCGAAGGGATCCCAAAACTCACCTGTGAGAATAAATTGTGAGACGTAGCAGTAATTTTTAAAAAGAAGAGTCATGAGTCACTGAACATGCCACAAGGTTGCCGCAATCAACACAGCACAGCGACAACCTGCAGGTGCCGGGCCAGACACGCCCTGACTGTGTGGGAGCGCGTCAAGTCGTAAAGGTGTTGTCTCAAGTCAGCGGGGGAGAGACGGGTCATCTCATAAAAGACATGTAGGAAAAGTGACACTCGGGACAATCCCCTGCCTCCCCCACATCATAAATAAATTCCAGATGGATTGGATACTTGAACACAGTCACGAAATCTGTAAAAATATTAGAAGAAAGTGTAGAGACTATTTTCATAAGATAGGGGTAGAGGAGGTTCTCCTAAGATAATAAAGGACAAAAATCATAAAAGAACAGTGAGGCAGATTTGACCATATCAAACTTGAGAACATGTGTACAGGTACAGCAAAGACGCTGCAAACAGACACCAGCCACAGCCGCAGGGAGACGTGCACAACACACAACACAGGGAAGGTCACGTCCCTGATACACAGAAGGGTCGTGCAGCTCAGTGCAAAAAGACAAACGCCACACAGAAGCAGAAGAAAGGAAGACACCCAGGCAACCAGAGAAGAGACACCCACAGCTGACAAACACGGAAGACGCCCGACCTCACAATGACTTGATTTTTCGGGGGGGGGGGGGTTCTTGACCTGTAAGGGGACCGCAACCCTTGGCACGGTGCAGTCCGCACCACGCTCAGCCAGTGAGCGCACCGGCCATCCCTATATAGGATTCGAACCAGCGGCCTTGGCGCTACCAGCACCACACTCTCCCGAGTGAGCCGCGGGGCCAGCCCACAAGGACTTGTTAAATGCAGATCAGGGCAGATTCCACTTGTTGTCTATTAAACTGGCATTTGCCTGCACCCTGCACTGCTCCTGAGGGCATACGAATCAGCAGGAACGTCAACTGACATCGTGAGTTTATAAGTATTCATTTCCGGGCTGGCCGGTGAGCTCGCTTGGCACTCGCTTGAGTGCAGTGTTGTAACACCAAGGTTAAGGGTTCGGATCCCCATACCAGCCACCAAAAAAAAAAAATTCAGAAGTCCCTGGGCCAGCCCGGTGGTGCACTGGAGAGTGCGCCGCTTGGGAGCGCGGTGGTGCTCCCACCAAGGGTTCGGATCCCATGTGGAGACCGGTTCCGCTCACTGGCTGGTTGCGATCCCGTTACCGGTCAGTAAAAAAAGACAAAAAGGAAAAAAAAATTCAGAAGTCCCTACAGAGGTTCCTCTCTGACTCAGTTACCCACTTCTCGGAATCAGTCCCACACAATCACTGGAGCCCATAAAGGTAGGGGAATAAGGACGGTCACTTCAGTTGCTGAGGACAAAAAACTGAAAACAAACCTCCCTGGCCACTGATCAGGGAGAGCTGAATAAATTACATTTCGCTCACGCCGGGAATGGTCGACCCAGACGTACTGACCCGAGAAGACACCACTGGTGACTTGTTCCGTAGAAACAAGCGGCTGATGGATGATTTTTCGGAGCTGTCCGGGTGCCCACTGGCCCCAGCACTTTGCAGGGGTTGTGGAGTTCAACCCTTCGGCGACAACTTGCCAAGGTGGGACCACACTCAAACCCTCAGAGATGAGAGGTGGATGTAGCGAGCTCTGCACCTCGGAAGTGGGGGAGTCCAGCCATCTGGGGTTCCCGGCCCTCCCTCGGGAGCCTCCCAAAATGGTAGGGGAGGGGAGCGTGGAAGGCCTTCCCTTCTAATTTAAGATAATTCTCCAAAAAGGTGACAGAACTTCACTCTTGTGTTCTAAATACTATCCTCAAATAACAAATTCAGCACAGGAAGGTTTATGTGAAAACTAGCTCAAACCTTGCCCCTTGGGAGGGCAGGCCCACATCCTCCCGACACCTCCAAAGCGTCCTTGGGGGCTTCCTCCGCTCGGTGTGTCCTCCAAAGTCCCAAGCTCCTCTTCATGTCTTGCCCATGAGCGAGCTGCAGTCCCCAGGCTCGCCAAACACCGGTCACACAGGAGGGCAGCGCACTTCACTGAAGAGGGGTGCAGGGCGGGGGGACAGGTTACATCACACAGCCCCGGAGCAAACTCCAAATGAACGGGAGACGGCCTTCCACAGAAAAGTCCCTCGGCCGTGTCCACCAGCAGGAAGCTGACACCAGTTTCCACCGAGGACTGGAGGCCCCACCTCACTCTCTCTCTGGTCCACGTGCCCAGGACCCCCAGATTCCTCCCAAGGCTGTGCAGAGCCTCCAGGAGGACTGCCAAGGCCAACTCTTACAGGAACCATTTTTCTTTCCAAGGAGTCTGGGACCCAGCAGTGACCAGGGGCTGGGTCAGCGGGGGTGGCACCAGGAAGTACTAGCCAAAGACCAGACCCCGGAGAGCCCGTGGGGTGTCCACCAAGAAACTGCATGGTGAGCCTGGGCCACGGGATGAACAGTGGGGCATGTAGTGTGGTGGCCAGTGGGTGTGGGAGGCTGGGCTGGACCCAGAGATGCAGGGATGAAACCGGAGACCCACAGCTGGGGCAGGAAGGACCGAGAGAGCACCGCAGCATTTACCCAGTCTTCCCCTGCCCCCTCCCCACAAGGCAGGGCCCGGTCCATCTGTGCCAGCCCATGAGGGATCGGCTTCCTCAGCCCTGGTGACAGGGACTGGACTTCAGAACCCTGCCCATGTTCAACCCCAACTCAGGGCAAGCGGGTGAGGGGCAGATGTCCAGTGAAGAGGCGGAGGCCGGGCACAGGAGGATGAGGCAGCCCCCACAGCTCTCAGCTGCAGGAGAGGAGCTGGCTCCCAGAGTCTGAGTCCTCTGGGAATGAGAGAGAGTTCGGGGACTGGAACCAGACGAGACTCGTGCACATGTGCACATCTGTGTGCGCGAGTGCCCACGTATGTGCTGTACACAGAGCATGGGAGGGTGAGCGCGCATGTGGGCATGCACCGGGGCACACTATTTGTGCTGGTGGGGTGTGGATGTCTCAGTGCACGTGCATGCAGCCGCCTGTGGGTGTGAGCAGCGTGTGCATGTGGAGTTACTCTGCGGGCACAGGTATGTGTGTGTGAGTGCATGCACATACTGGCCAAGTGTGTGCACGCACAGTTCCAGCTCCTCCCCTCAGGCCCACCCTGTGAGCTTGTCCGTCTCAGCTCTCACCTGACATGCCGCACATGCCCCCAAGCACACCCACCCAGCTCCCCGTGCCCTGCAGTGTTGGAGCGTGGGTGGCCACCCGCCCAGCCCGACCACCTGCCTCTGCTTCCTCAGTACCCCACTCCCTGCTCTCTGCCAGGACCCCTCCCCCACCCAACACCCAGGCTCAGACCCGGGTCTCAGTACTCAGAAGTGACTTTATTTCTCTGAAGAAGATGCCCTTACGACCAGGCCATTGGGCTGTGTCTGGCTCCGCCTCACTTCCCCTCGGGGACCTGGAAACCTCAGCCCCCTGCCCTCACCCCCAGGCCTCCTGCCCAGATGCCTGGTTTCCTGGAGATGGCGGCTGCCTGGGACTCAGAGCTGGTGGAGCCACAGGGAGGTCTCATGTCTGGGGAAGGACGAGAGCCACAGACCATGGCACTGGGCCAAGGCTGCCTCTAGCCCCAGCCAGGCCAGGCTAGGGAGGGGGCAGCAACAGGCTCAGGGGAACAAGCTCAGAAGCCCTGTGGGAGGGAGGGGCCCTCAGAGCCCAGCCCAGAGGAGGGCAGGCCCCAGGCTGAGCAGGAGCCCCCCAGCCAGTGCCCAGGGGCTGCACCCCACCCCATCTGCCCCGTTGCACAAATCCTTCTCGCAGCAGTCCACGTCGACTTTTAAGATCCCAGAGTTAATAAAGCCCATCAGATAGTCTGAGAAAAAGTGCCGCTTAACGAAGTCACAGGAGGAAGCACACATCTTGTTCACAGAGTGGTCCTTCCTGCCTGGGGAGAGAAAGAGGCCTGGGCTTGGAGCTCCCCCAGGTCCTCTTTGCCTGGTCCTCCAGACCCAGCCCAGGCCCCTCCAGGACCCCAGATCAGCAGGACTGAGGACCCCAACCCACCCATGCTGTCCCCAACTACATGAAAAGAACTACCAAGGAGCCATAAAAGGGACAAGCACCTGCTCACTGTCATGCAGCAGAGCAGTATCCTGCCCCAGACCCGTGCTCTTGTCCCAAGCCAGAGGGGCTCAGGGACACCTCTGACCTCTCCCAAGAGTCTGGCTCTCAGCAGCCCCAGCCCCACCCCAGGTCCCAACTTACTGCTGCTGGGATCGGTGATCCTGACACTGGCACACACCGTGTCCGACGGCTGGCACTGCTTCGGAGTGCAATGGCTGGAGTTGGTGGTCAGGGTGCAGTCCTGGCACCACAGGCCATGAGCTGGGCAGGGCAGGGGGAGGAGCATCACCAGAGGAACTGGGGGCCAGGCCAGCCAGCGCCCTGCAGCCCCTGGTCCTCCCCGCCAGCTGCAGGCACTCCCAGCAGAGCCATGCCCAGGTAGGAGGCTCAGGTTGCCACCCCCAGGAGTGAGCAGGCCAGACTGACACCTGGAAGGGAGGCCCTGGGATAACCTGGAAGGCCCCATCCTGGACTCTGGGAGCCTCTATACGCCTCACACATGCACGTGCACGTACACACAGCCGGCCATGCACATGTCACACCTGCGGTGCCTCTTGCACACTGCTACCCTGCCATGCATACCCCATCCCCTGGTGGGTTCTAAGCTATGAAAGACCAAGCCGGACTTGAGGAGAGGCCCGGTGGGGCTACAGAAGTGAAGGAGCGTGAGAACGCGGCCACTTAGGAGGGAGGGGCGTCCGTGCAGGAGGAGCCCAGCAACCGCTCAGTGCACTCGGGTGCTGGGAGAGACCCGAGTGTCTGGGGCGAAGGGGGCAAGGGCTGGGGCGGCAGGGGTCCTAGAGGAGGTGAGGGCTTTATGGGACGCGCGGTGGGAGCCGTCGGGGGATGGCGGCCCCACAGCCCGGCTCTCTCTGGAGCGGCGGGCCTCTGGTCTTCAGGCGACCTCACCCAGCCCTGCGGGTCCCCGACTCACCGGGCGCAGAGCACAGCAAGACGGCCAGCAGTGCCAGGCCGAGGACCTTCATGGCTGCAGGCAGCATGCTCCGGGTGGGTCTGGGGGAGGCGCGGGGGCCGCTGGCAGGGGTCCTCTGGGGCGCAGGCCTGGGAGGGAAAAGCCTCGGTCAGGAGACCCAGTCCTCGGCCAGCCGAGCCCCAAGGACCCTCCCCTTTCCTTGCCCCGGAATCCGAGGCCGGGGGTCGGCCTGGAGCTCGCAAAGCCCCACCCCCAGCCCATCCCCCAGAGCGTCCACCATCACAGCATCCCTGCCGGAGAGAAAAGGTCTGCCCTCTCGAGCGAGGTGACAGTCTGAGATGCCCCCAGCCCGCGCCCGGCACCTGGGGGGTGTGGGGCGAGGGGGCGTCTTCCTTCTGGGGAGCTGGAGGTGCGTCGGGACACGAAAGCGCAGGAGGCGGCGGCAGCGGACGGTACCTGCCGGCGGGGGGAGGGGTGCGCGCCACGTCCCCACCCCCACCCCTGGGCTAGGGGGCCGGGAACCCCGCGCCGAGTCCCCTCCCCTGGCCT